ATTGATGAAGAATACCTTAACACTCTCATCAATAAAGTGAAAGAAATGAAAATAGAAAAATGTACAGATATTAATTACTACTTTCAAAGAAAAGAAGCTGCCGAATTAATAAATGAAATTAATAATAGATGAGTATGGTCAGGAAGCAGAATGCAGGATATGCAAGATGATATGAAAAGGATTTCAATGGTTATGCATCTCTATCTCCAAAATAAAATAATAGGAGACAAATTTGATGAAATAAAAGAAATCCTAAAGAAAATAAATAGACTAGAAGATCTAGTCAATGAAATTGTACAGAATAAAGTGCATCATGAAATTAAAAGAATATGATGAAGAAGGAATAAAAGTTAAAGCACTAGAAAGAATAAAGTACCTAAAATATATGATGACAATGATTAAAGAATTAAATTTAATAAGGAAGAAATAATCAGAATCAATACAAATAAAATCATGATTGATTCTAATAAGAAAATTAGAATAAGGAAGAAACAAAAAATGAAATATACCCAAATAACGATATTACTTTAGAATATTGGAAATCGTTATATGAAAAAAACAAAACCAAAAACTAAAAGTAACATTTTCTGCAATAGAAAAAATCAATTAACAACTCATTTTCCAGAAAAAACCACAACTAGCACATGTTAAGAATCGAGTCATAGGTTCATCAGCTGATCGTGTTTGTGCTAATGTTTCTTGAATTTTTCTACTACCACATTTACCACATTTAAATTCATTATTATCTGGTATTTTAGAAATATCAATTGGTTTCTTTTTATCTTCTTCATCTTTAATAATTCTTTCTTTAATTTCTTTAACAGCTTCATCTGCCATATCATCTGGTGACATTTCAATTAATTCATTTGGAGTAACTTTTTTAGAACAAAGGTTATCTACTAACTTTTTGTTTTTACGAAGACCAGCTAAAATCTGTCGAAGATGGAAGTTAAATTTTTCATTATCTTCTTTATATTTAACTGCAAGACCTTCTCCTATTCCATCTAATATATCTGATTCTTTGATGTATTTAGATAATACTTTCAATGCTTTCGTTTTATTTGCTGTGTTGTATGAGTTACTTCCAGAAACAGCAGGTTTAGTTGCATCTTCTCTTGACATTGACCTAAAGAACAATAATTTTTAGTTCTTCTACCCCCTTTTATTAGGTTTTGTTTTTTAGTTTCATTTTTATTTCTTAATAACAAAAATTAAAAAAGAAAAAAGCCAATCCCAAAAATTGAAGCAACCTTCTAATTTTTTGGATTTTGTTTTAAATATTTTTGAGCCTTTTGCATTTTGGAATTAAATGTTTCATTACACCCTTTCATTCTGAACAAACATCCGTATCATCCATAAATTAAAGTCTAATATCATGTTGTCAATTCTCTTCTTTCATTCCTTAAATTTAGAGATAAAACTGTGAACTGTTTATTTGTAATCAACCCAGAATTTTTAATTTTCTTTTTTTTTAAGAAAATAGAAAAACAAAAAATGAACTAAAAAAATTATCTTTAAAGAAATGAATTATCCAAAAGCTTTAAAAATTCTTGTTGTAGGAGGAGATAAAACGTTTAAGTCTACATTATGTAAAGTACTTGTTGGTAATACATTTTCATCAAGTTATATTCATACAGTTGGTATTAATATTTATCGATCTAGTGTTAATGACCGATCAGTGATATATTGGGATATTCCATTTTCAGAAGTTTGTTAATAACACTTTGATAAAAGTAGGTTAAAGTAGAGACAGTGATTTAATAAAATAGTATAAATTAGGAAGGAATCTTGCATTAATAAAAGAACATGTTGATGGAATAATTTTAATGACAAATAAAGACATAGAAAGTAGTTTTGATGCTGCACGTGATTGGATGACATTATTTGCGAAGATTGCAACTCATATTTTGATTGTGAAAGATTATAAAGAAGATTTAGATTTATCAATGAGATATGAAGAACTTAAAAAAATTCATCAAAACATTAATAACGTTTATTTTAAGCCAATGCTTGTTCATAAAAAGAAAGGGGTTTTTGAAGCAGTTAATGACTTTATAGAAAAGATACTTCATCAATTTAAAGATACTGAAATTTGTCTAACTGAAGAAAGTGATACCTCTTCTTCTTCTCCTACTCCTTCAGTCAAATATACTCCATCACCTAAATTCTTTACTTTTTCACCTTCATCATTAACAAGTAATTCAAATGGAAAAATAATTACAAAAAATTTTATTACTCAAACAAAGAAAGAAGTAATAACATTATATGATGATATTAATGAATATATTAATCAATTAGAAAGTTCCTCTTTTGATAATTCTGTTGATGATTTCTATAAGAAAAGAGAATTAAATAGGTTCCATAGCCATGTTGATATTGAGAAGAAAGAACTGCTAAAAGAATTAGAAAGTTATGAAGTTCTTCTTGAAAAGAATAAAAATGGAGTAAATGTAACTTGTGATGATGTTCAAAAATTACTTATTATCCGTGAACATTGTTGGCAAAAAAATTTTGAATTTATTGGATATAATTATATCGTAAAGAAACCAAAGAATTAATTTCATTTGAATATTTTTATTATTTACTTTTTATAATTTGTTATTGAAACTAAAATACTTTAAAGTTTTTTTATTAATTTTTTATTTTATTTGAAAACTCAATGAACCTATTATTAAAAAGAATCAGAAGTGGTTATAGTCTCTTCAGTATTCAGAAACACGGACCACATTATCATCATTTCTATTTTCTAATAAATAAATTAAATTATCATAAACTCTAAAATAATTTTAATAAAATTATGGTTTTTATTAATGTTATTATTAATTAATAAGAATATTATATAAAGAATTACTAGTAATTATTTTTAATAAATAAGTATTATTTAAATGAAATTCTTTTTGAATTATTTTTATTTTAATAACAAATGTTTTTTGTTGTTTGTTAGTTAGATATATCTATGAAAATGATTTTTATTCTTGTATGTTTAATTTTGTAACAATAATTTGATTTATTTTATTGTCATTTTATAAATGCGTAATTTTCATTTTTTAAGACATTTTATATAAATCAAAGAGGTATCAAATGCATTTTATGGAAAACAACATCCAGAATGTTTCACACTAAAACGAATCATAGCAACTGAAATTAAATGAAAATATTCAATATGGAATAATTGAACATGAAATAAAAAAAGAATAAAAAATAAATCAATGAAGAATATGAACAATTCATTCATCTAACAATGAATGAAATGATGATTATCACATAGAAATAATTCATTATTAATTACTTTATTAATAAATTTGTTATACATATTCGTTGGTTAATAAATGTTAAGTGAAAAGATACAGTTATAATAAAAAATAATAATATAACTAATAATAATTGTTTAAATAACAAATATATAAAATATGATGAAGAAGTTAGTTAATTAATATGAAATAGAATAAAAAGTATTATTTTATCATAAGTTATTAATAATTAATAGTCTTATAGCACATATCGTTACTTTAATTTATATATTCCTATTTAAGTATTAGTTTATAAAAATAATGTAATAATGTAAAATTATTGAGACAATTAATAGAATAATTAAACAAGTTATCAACAGTTATAACTAGTTAATATGAAATAAAAAAAAGTTATCAAATACCCAGTACTTTTTTTAATCCTCAAGTGAATAATCGAATTGAGTTAAAACAAAGAGTTATAAGTGCAATTGATATACCATCTTAAGTAATAATTATTCATAGTATTTGAATAAAAAAATAATATAAAAATAGTTGGGATAAATAAAAATATCTTTTAAAAACTTCTAAAATTTAAAAATAAATCATTCAAAATAAAATCAATTTTAGTTAAGTTTTCAATAATTTAACTTTAAAAAGAGAGGATCTTAAAAAACAATAAGAAAAACTGTGAGGTATTATAATAAGCAGCTAATAATGAATAGAGTTGCAAATAAAGTCAATTTTAATTTTCAAGTTTATTTGCTTGTTTATCTCTTAATTGATTTTGAAGTTGTTCTACCAAGTCCAGTCGTTTCTGAACGAAAATAACATAGCTTTTCCTTTTTTTTCTACGAGTCTCTTCTAGTCCAACGTATTGATCTATATTAAGTATTAATTTCATATAATATTCGTATAACTCTATACCTCTCCTTTCAAGTATTGTATTGATGATTTCTTCTTTTTGTTTTTGTTCGTTCATTAATGTTTGAAATTCATTAAATTTAATTTCTAATTTGTTAATTTCTCTTTCAATCAAATTTACTTCTTTATCAAATTTTTCGTTAACGTCAATTTCTGTTATATTTTCTTCAATGACAACAGTTTTATTTACATTCGTCTTTTGTTTGCTTGAACTACCACCCATCTTCAATTATAATCATTTTTAGGGTTATAAATCATTATCAATTGAAATCACATTTTGTTGTTAAAAAATGTTTTTCTAAATAACATTAAAAATAAAATTTCTAGAAATAGAAATATAAAAAAAATTGAAAATAACTTGAAAAATAAATGAAAATTAATTTTTTTAGTGAAATAATTTAAATTTTCATTGAATTTTTAGTTATGAAGTTTAGTATCTTATTCACACCAAATTTATAATGAACTAAAATTTATTCATTTAAAACAGTTAATTTGAAATTATCAATTATTAATTAAAATGAATTATTCATAAAATGTTATTATCATTTTAAAATTATTTGTTACAAGATCATCCTTGCAACACAAGACAATTTAAAGATAGTTCAATGAAACTTACTTAATTTTAATTAGCTTCTTCCAAGAAATTTGTATATAATAAAAATTTATTTGAAAAAAATGAACCAAAATTCTAATAAAAAAATTCTAAAAATTTAATGACAAAATATTTATAAAAAATTGAAGAAGGTGAAATTGTATGTAAATTAACAAAGAAAAGAATTATTACCAGAAAAATATTTTAAAATATAAAACAAAATTCAGTCAACGTTGAAAATTGATGTTTTCTAAATATTAAAAGAATAAAATTCTTTAAAGTTCTTTAATAAAGAACAAAAGAAAAACTTCAAAGAGAAACAATAAAAAACAAAATTACTTTTTAAATTAAATTTTTAAGAAAGAGATAAATTAATGAAAGTAAGAGTTACTTCTACACATTTATTTTCGATTCTTCTAGATTTCTTTTCTACAGAAAAGTAAATAAAAAGATTGAATTATCTTAATAATCAGATTTTTATGTCACTTCTATTATTTACTAGTTCTAATTCTGATGACTATTTTACTTTTAATTATATGAAAGTCCTTACTAATTTCGTTTCAGTTGGAAATATTATTGTTTCTCTTTGTTTTATTCTGGCTTTGAGAGGACTATCAACACAAATAAGTGCTAAAATGGGAAATATCTATGGGATTATTGGAATGTGCGTTGCTTTTATTACTGCAATAATTTCAAAGTGTTGTGACTTTCTTAATGCACCTACTTCATCTGACGCACTTGATAGAAATGAAATTCTTTATTTACTTGTTGGGTATTTATCTTGTTTAATTCCAGCGGCATGTATTGGTATTTTTATTGCATCAAGAGTAGAAATGGTTCAAATGCCACAATTAGTAGCAGGATTTCATTCATTTGTAGGACTTGCAGCAGTATTTGTTGGTTTTGCACATTGGATTAAAGATGCATCATCTTACCAACAAGTCCATGAGCTTAAAACAAATGAAGAAAAGGAAGAAGCCAATATAATGCATTTGACAATGATTGGACTTGAAACAGTTTTAGGTATTTTTATTGGAGGAATGACATTTACAGGGTCTCTTGTTGCATTTGGAAAATTACAAGGAATCATTAGATCTAAACCACTAATTATTGGAGGAAATTTCAGACATGTTTTAAATGCAGGTTTAGTTATTTTTGGATGTTTATTATGCATTCCATATATCGCTAGTGAAGTCATTGTAATGAATGACATTCCCGTTTTTGGAGATACTGTTTCTATTACTGATATTCAAAAATATAGTGTTTATTTCAATGCTGGTATTCTTATTCTTGTTACTTTAATTTCATTCTTTATTGGATGGCATATGGTTATGGCTATTGGAGGTGCTGATATGCCAGTTGTAGTTTCAATGTTAAATTCATATTCAGGATGGGCTACAGCAGCATCAGGATTCTTATTAAATAATTATGCTATGATTGTTGGAGGAGCATTAATTGGATCATCAGGAGCTATTTTATCATATATTATGTGTAAAGCTATGAATAGATCATTCATGTCAGTTATTTTTGGAGGATTTGGAGCAACACCATCTAAAACAAGAAACCAAGAAGATGAAGGACCTAAAGAAGCTAATACAATTCAAACACCAGAACTTGCTAAACTTTTAATGGAAGCACATAACATTGCTATTGTTCCAGGATATGGAATGGCAGTTGCAAAAGCACAACATGTAGTTGCTAGTCTTGCAGAAGAATTAATTAAAGCAGGAAAAGAAGTAAGATTTATTATTCATCCAGTTGCAGGAAGATTACCAGGACATATGAATGTATTACTTGCAGAAGCTAATGTACCATATAAAATTGTATTTGCAATGGAAGAAGCAGAAGATTTAGAAAATGTTGATGTTGCAATTGTTGTTGGAGCAAATGATACAGTTAATCCAATAGCAGAAACTGACCCAACATCACCATTAGCTGGAATGCCAATTATTGATGTTTATAAAGCTAAAGTATGTGTAGTTAATAAAAGATCTCTTAATCAAGGATATGCAGCAGTAGATAATCCATTATTTTTCTATTCTAATACAAGAATGTTCTTAAGTGATTGTAAGAAAGGATTTGAAGAATTAAATTCTGAATTAAAAAGATTAATGGGTGATATTGTTTTAGGTAATGGTGATATTAGTGTATCTGAAAAGACTAGTTTATTGACTGGTCAGCAAGAAACAATTCCTATGAAAATTGATCCTGAAAATTTATTTATTGGTATTCCAAAAGAAAATGTACCAGAAAAAATGGTTGCTATGGTTCCATCAGTTTGTAAACAACTTAGATCAAGAGGGTATGGTATTTATGTAGAATCTGGAGCAGGTTTATTATCATCATGTACTGATGAAGATTATAGAAGTGTTGGATGTCGTATTGCTGAAACAACAGAAGAATTATATGAAAAATCAAATATTATTTGTAAAGTAAATCCACCAAGTGAAGAAGAAATTAATAAAATGAGACAAGGACAAACATTAATTTCATTTTTCTATCCAGCAAAGAATTCTAAATTACTTGATCTTTCAGTTCAAAAAGGAATTAATGTTATTTCAATGGATTGTGTACCAAGATTATCTAAAGCACAATGTATGGATGCATTATCATCACAAAATAATCTTGCAGGATATAGATGTGTTATTGAAGCATCAAATAAATTTGGTAGATTACTTATGGGACAAGTTACTGCAGCTGGTAAATCACAACCAGCTAATGTACTTGTTATTGGAGTTGGAGTTGCAGGACTTGCAGCTATTTCTACTGCTAAAGCACTTGGAGCACAAGTTAAAGCATTTGATACTAGAAAAGCAGCAAAAGAACAAGCTGAATCAGTAGGAGCTGAATTTTGTACAGTAAGTGTAGATGAAGATGCAGAAAATAAATTTGGATATGCAAATGCAGCATCCCAAAGACTTATTGATGCCGAATATGCATTATTTAGACAATTATTACCAGAAACTGATATTGTTATTACAACAGCAAATGTTCCAGGCAAGAAATCACCAATTTTAATTACTCAAGATATGGTTGATTCAATGAAAATAGGATCAGTTATTGTTGATTTAGCAGCTGCTAATGGAGGAAATTGTGAAGTAACTCGTAGTGGAGAAACATATCTTTATGATAATAGAATTACCATTATTGGACAAACTGATTATACAGTTAAAATGTCACCACAAGCATCTCAATTATATTCTCAAAATATATTTAATTTCTTAAATTTAATTTGTAAGAAAGCAAGTGATTTTACTATTAAACTTGAAGAACCAATTGTTAGACAAATGGTAGTTTGTTCTGCAGGACAAAAAATGTGGCCAGCACCTCAAATCCAAGTTGTTAGTCAAAATACACCAGCAAAGAAAGTTGAAAATATTAATACTCTTTCAACTGAAGAAGAAAATAAAAAATCATTCCCTATTGGAAAAATTATTGGGTTTGGTTGTATAATTCTTCTTGTTATATTTATGTTATTTATGCCAGAAATGTTTGTTACAGCATTTATGTCATTTGTACTTGCTATTATTGTTGGATATTATGTTATTTGGAATGTTACAAGTGCACTTCATACACCTTTAATGTCTGTTACTAATGCTATATCTGGTATTATTGCAGTTGGAGGAATTACAAATATTTCATTGATTGATCCATCAACTGATCTTTTCTATTTTGTTGCTGTTACTATTGTTGGATGTTTAGCTGTATTTATTGCATGTTTGAACATCTTTGGAGGTTTCTTCATTACATACAGAATGTTGAAAATGTTCCATTAGAGTTAGAGTAACAAAATTTATTCATTATTATTTTTCTGTTTAAAAATAACTCTAACTTGTAAAGGAAAATAATACTTTCCTATTTACAACGTATATAAGATTATACCATAATTAGTATTGTTTATTCATTTCATAGGATTAATAAATAACATTCTAATGAATATAATAACTTATAATAATATCAATTCAATATTCAAATCTTTTTTTAAATTTATTTTAAATACAATTCATATTTATTGTTATGAATATGGTTTTGTAAATCTTTAATTATGAAGTATAAAATAATAATTTCATTTTTTGAGTTTCTGAAGAAGATAAAAATAAAAAATACATTTTTCTTATCAATGATGTAAAATATTAAACATTTTCTTCATTTTCATTAAAAAAATTCAACTTAAAAATGATTAGATTAAAACAAAAAATGTGGAGTAATTCATCATTAACAACAATCATCAATGACATAAAAGCTACCAATAAAATTATAACTTTTGTTGTAGTTCAAAATATAAACCAGTCACAAGCATTTATTCAGAGTTTTGAAACTAACTTAGCACCATTTCTTATTCAACAAGGATCATACATTATGTTATTTGAAGAATGTGATGAGAGATTAGCATTGTTAAATTTATTTTTACCAGAACCTGTTCTTTCAACTTCAATAATAATACTTAACAAATTTGGAGTTGTTTTGTTTCAAAAAGATGAAGCCATTGATTCATCTTGTATTGCATCAACTGTTCTTCAATTAAATTCACAGATCAATACAAGTAAAAACCTTCCCACACAACAAATAATAAGAGAAGAAGAAGAAAAAGTAGAAAAAGAAGAAGAGGATAGTACAATACAAAAAGATAAAAAAACTAACGAAGAGAATAAAGAGAGTCTTAAAGAAGTAACGTCTGTGAATGAAATATTAAGAAAATTACCACCAAACCATAAACAAAATATGGCTTTATTTGAAATAAGAAAAAAACGACTTAATGCAGAACAACAACAAATAGAAAAACGAAGAAAAGAAGAACAAGAAAGATGTTTAAAAGAACAAAAAGAAGAAGAGAAAAAAAGAAAAGAAGAACAAGAAAATAAAGAGAAAGCTATTTGTGAAATGAATGAAATAAAAAAATTAAAAGCAATTCAAAACCTTGAAACAGAAGAAAGAATGAAAGAATTACAAAAAATTAAAACACAAAAACAAATGGAAAATATTACTAATTTTTATAATGGAATAATTAAAATCAAATTTAGATGTCCTAATGGTAAAAGTGTTATTCATGAGTTTTATCCTACTGATTCAATTCAGGATATTTATGAGTACGTTAGATCTATTAATTATAGTAAAGCATTTACAATCACTGATATGAAAGGAAATAATTTACCTGAAACTAATCTCTCATTAAAACAAACTGGAATTAATGGATCAGTTATATTAAACATTAATAATCAAATGTAATTTTGAATTTATAAACAAAAATTGAAATAAATAACAATTTTTAAACTTTTTTTAATAAAAAATTAAAAAAATAAATTAAAAAAAACTTAAAAAGAAAAAGAAATGGAAAATATTTGGTATGATGGACCTATTTCTGATGCTATTAAACAGTCATTAACAAATAATAAACTTATTGTTATAACAGTGGTTAATGGCAGTGATGAAAGTCAATCTGTTCTTCAATTATTTGAAAATGAATTAAAAGACACAATAAAAATGACAACTGCATTATTACTTCATGAAAATGATGAAAATCTTCAATTTTTCTGCTCTTTATGTTTGTTTTAATTATTACATAAATAAAAATAATTAATTCATGAATATAGATACTCAACCAATTGTATTTCCTTCAGTATTCTTCTTTAATGGAGCTGGACTTCAAAAAGTACTTATTAAAAATGAAATTACGAAAGATAGTATTTCATCATCAATATTTCAATTAACAATGGTATCAGTTTTGAGTCAACAAATTCCTAATCAACAAATTCCTAATCAACAAATTCCTAATCAACAAATTCCTAATCAACAAATTCCTAATCAACAACAACCAGTAAATACTCTTAACCAACAACAACCAGTAAATACTTTTAATCAACAACCTACACAAATAAATTCATCTAATCAACAACAAGAAAAAGGTGATGATGATGAAATCAAAGTAATGAAAGGAGAATTAAAAAGAAGAGAGAAAGAAAGAAAAGCACGTGAAGAACAAAGAATAAAAGAAGAAATGGTTGAACAAAATTTAATTAAAGAAAATGAAAAACAGAGAAAAGAAGATGAAGAATATAAAAAAACCTTAATTAAACGTATTAAATTAGAAAAAGAAAATAAAATTCAACAACAACAACAAGAAGAACAACAAAGAGAATTAGAACTAAAACAACAAAAACAAGAAAAAGAAGAAAAGAAACAAAAGGTTCATATAGCCATTAGACTACCAAATGGAGAAATAAAGAAAGAATATTTTGAAAAACAAGATACTCTTCAAAAAGTTTATAACTTTGTTATGGGTTTTGGATTTGATAAATTTGTTCTTATTGATGGAATTAAGAAAAATGAATTTACTAACCTTCAACAAACACTAGAAAATTTAGGATTTTGGCCATCTATTTTATTACATGTTGTTATAAAAAGTGTAGGAGAAAAAAAAGAGCCTATGTTTGGAACAGGAAATGGAACAGAAAATGTACCACAACAAACATGGTATGAATGGTTTAAGTCAATGTTTTAAATTTTAAAAATTTAAATAAAAATTTTATTTTATGATTTATTCTGATGAAGTTAAAGTCTTAGATGAAGGAAAAAAAAACAGAGAAAAGAAATAGTTAGAACTTAAATCTGCCAAAAACAGATCTAAAAGAGAAAAAAAGAATAGAAACTACAAAAATAGAAAAGATGAAAAGAACTATAATAATCAATAAATTATAGATGGGAAGAAATAAAATTCGAATAGAACGAATTGAAAATGAAAAAAAAAGAGCAACTACATTTCAAAAAAGGAGACATGGTCTTATTAAAAAAGCAATGGAACTAAGTATTTTGTGTGATTGTAAAGTCTCTTTAATGGTTTTTAAAGATGATAAACTTGTAGTTTATAGTACAAATAATATTAAAAAAATGTTACTTGAATTTGTAGAATTTCAAGGTCAATTCATTTCATTTACTAATGAAGATTATTCTAATGTAGCTGATAATCAAATTGATATAGAACAACCAGAAAAACAAATTGACATTCCTAAGTCTAATTCTGAAATGTCTAAATCAGTTACTCAAAAAGTTAATCCACCTGAACCAATTTCTACTTCACAAGTAATAACTCATGACCCTATTCAACAAGATAATAATTACTCTACACCAACATCTGATAATTTATTAATTAAATCAAATACTATTATTCAACCAAATAATACTGAAGATATGCCTGAATTACCAACTGGTTCTCCTTTAACAACTCCTTTAAAAAAAGGAATGTATAATATTTCTACAATACCTCCAATTCAAACAACAAATTTATCAATAGATTGTACTTCTCAAAACTTAGAGTTACAAAAACCAACAGAATTTCAACACCCTTCGTTCATAGTTTGTTTCTTTTATTTAATTTTTTTTTTCATTATAAAGTAATATAAAATGTTTTTATTTAATTGAATAGATGACTTATTTTTTAGTCATATCAACCAATTAAGAGAGAACCAATAGATCCTGACACTGAAATAATTCCTCCTAACAAGAAACAACTTCAGGATTGATTTAATTCTTTACTGTTTGAACTAATTTATTGATAATAATCTTAATACTTCTTTTACAAAATTTGAAAATCTTAAAATTGTTTGATAATCTCTCAATATCATTTTTTTTATAATGATTATCTTTCCAACCATCGTTGTTACTTTGTTGTCTGTTTGTTAAGAAAATAAATTAAAACAAATTAATAACTTAAATATCTAGATGTTCAGTTATTCAATGATTTATCAATCTTCTTTACTTATTGGACAATATGGTGATATTATTGTTGGTCATCGAAACAATGATGCAATGCCATTTGCTTTGAATACAATGGCAATATGTTTTGTTTTTATTTTAGCCCTTGTTTTATTTGTATATTGCATATCAATTATATTAGCACATTCATGTGATAATAAAGTAATAACATTACTGAGTATAGTGTGTTCTATTTTAACTAGTTTATTATCAATTCTTGTTATTATTCTTCTTACTGTTTCTATTATTAATACTAAAAAATCATTTCCTTCTTTGTTCTCTACTGAAGGTGAGTCAGAACAAGACACAAACGAGGAAGGAAAAAAGGAATTTAGGAATCAGTTAGAGTATAAAGTTTGTTTTTTAAGTTTAAGTTATTTAGGTTAATAACAATAATTTACACTAAAAGTTTTCGTGTTGTGGGTTTGATAATGCAACTGTCCAATATGAATGCCATAAGTTCACACCATTAGAGTTAACATGTAAAACTACGTTATATGAACCATTTATGAAATTGATGTATTATCTATTTGTTCCAATTTCTGCAACTCTTATATTATGTGTGATTATTACTTGTATTAATTTAACACTCTTCATGTATCAACGAAAAGAATATCGACATGATGAATGGGGTGATACTTTTTATTCTTAATTTTTTAATTTTGTTATATATTACATTTTCAAGAAGAACTTTAAATAAATATATTAGATTTAATAGAAAATAAAAATTATAATAAAAATTAAAAAAAAAAAACAAATAGAAAAAAAAGAGAATCTTCAAAATAAAAATATGACAGTTACTACTAAAACACCTTCTACAGATGTTTCATTTGATGTACCATTATTGAGAGGATACCTTACAAGAAGAGATCCCAAAGGGACACATTCGTGGAGTAAATTATGGTATCAAAATAGTTTTGAAAATCCATTAATATTAGAATGTTTTGCAGATGAAAAGTCAACAAAAGTAGTAGAGACAATTAACTTTAAAGAAGTAACTGATCTAAAGATTGTTAGAACAAAAGCTGAAGACTCAACTAAAAAAAGATATGGTTTTCAATTTAAATATGGAAAACATACCCAAAAATTATTAACTGATGGTGAAGAAGAAGGAGAATATTGGAGAGATGGATTTACATCATTATCTCGTATTGCTCAAGGAAATGCACCAACTAAATCAAAATTAAAAAAATCATCTAAAGAATCAACAAATGAATATGGATTATTTCCTGGTGAAGACTTTGCTACTACATTAGTTGATTTTTATAGTACTGACCCTGGAGTTCTTTCTTTTAAAAAAGGAGAAATTGTTATTATTATTGGCAATATTGAAAATGGTTGGATTCCTGTTGAATTTGGTGGTAAAAGAGGTTGGGTTCCTAACGAATTTATTAAACCCATGGGCTTAAAAAAATAATTGTTTAATGAATTGAACATTACATGGTTGTATTTGACTCTTCTATTGTTTTTTTCTTTTATTATTTATTTTGAATCTTTTGGTTTTTGTTGGAAGAGTTGAGAGTAATGTTGAATTGAATAGGTATATACAAAAGGATAGCCTCGAAGTGATGGAGCCAAACAAGTCACACAATTTTCGATATTCATTTTAGTAATTTCTTTATTCATTGCAATTGAATGAAGAAGACCAAGTAATTCATTAAGAAAGTTAAATGTCATAGGAGGAATATCTTTGTAAATTTCATAAAATTGGAGGAATAAGTCATCTTCTTGTAAAGTATCTTTTTGTTTCCATAATTCGTATAATCTGTCATCAATGGACTTTGGAATAACTTGTTCTGGTAATGATTTAATATATAATTTCAATGCTCCAGCAACAGAATGAATATCAAAGTTAGTAAGACATTCAAACGTAATAATTTTTGTGTCGAGTTTTTCTACTACCTTTTGAATATGTTCCTTACTTCCAGACACTCTAAAGATACCTTCGATAGTAATAGCATATTTTTTGAGATATTGAATTAATAAACTAATATTTGGTGGTAATGTGATTATGTTATTTTCTGTGCTTAGTACTTCTAATGAAACACCTACTACTTTTATTATTTTTGTTGTTTTACTTTTACCACTTAGTCGATTGATAAACCCTTTTGAAAGAAATCCTTTAGACCGTGGAGATAATCCATTGTTTGGTGTTGATACAGGTTTTTGAATTAATGCCGTTAATGAACCTTGTGACTTCACTAAATCATTACTTGAACGATTTCTATCTCCACCAACTATAGTAATATGAGGTGGATTAAACATTATTAAAGAAGCATCATCTTTTCGAATGATAGTTCGTGGGACTGTAACATACCATGGCTGTAAATTTGTTAAATCATCAATCCACTTAACACACACATCCCGATCTTTAAAATCAATAGTAATGTTATCAAAACTGATGGTTGTTTCATTAATGAGAATAAGACGAGGTTTAGTTAAATAAATGACATGATCAATTTCTTTTGTTTCTTCTTTTCCAATAAAGAGAAAATTTTTTATTAGTTGAATACTTCGTGATTTTTTATTCGATGTGTCATATGACAATAAAACACTAACTCCATCAGTTATGCTAGGATCAGCTGAAAAGATACTAATATATAATCTGATGAGTTTTTTTTGAGAATAATCACTAAATTTTATTTGAAAAGTAGATAACAATCCAGATAACCAAACAAAGTTATCACCAATCATTCGATACTTTTCCATGTACTTCAATAATTCTTCCTGTAATTCAGGTGATGAAAATTTCTTTCTTGGACTTCTTGGACTTTTCAAAGAACGAGGTGTTGATGGAGTAGATTTACCATATAATTTGTTCATTCTTATTAAATTGAATTTAGACTTAACAAAGTGGTTTGCATTTTTTAGGTAAAACAAACAAAACACTGAATTCTCAACTTCATCCAAATATCCAAAAACTGAAAGTGTTGAGAGGTTTTGTTTATCTGCTTTTAGTCCAACAAATTGTTGGTTATTTCTACACACGTGAATTATACTGTTTTGATTGACCACAAAAAAAGATGAATAAATCAAACTCTTGGTTATCGTCTCTATGAGTAAGTCTCAATTCCATTACTTTTGGTCTTGTTCGACGTGGGGTTGCTAATGTAGGATTCATCACTAAAAAACAACTACTATCAATTTTTAAAAACTTTAAAAAGATTTTTTAAGGAGCTTCGACTTCTTTAAGAGTAACTTTTTATTTTTCACTTATTTCTCAACTTCTTTTTACATTTTGTTTTTCTCCATGTGAAGATCTAATAAAAATTCCTCTTTTGTTTTAAAAGATCAGTATTAATGTTATTTATTTCATAATTTTTAAAACGTTATATATACACAAAAGAAAAAATCAATAGAAAAAAAGAAAAAAAAAAC